GGAAAGATAAGCATGTACCTGAGGGAGAGTTGATCCCTAAAGTGACAAACGAGCCAAAGAAGACTGCTGAAATTCCAGAGCTAGTAGAGGCCCCAAGGCCACCACCACCTTTCCCCCAGAGATTGCAAAAGAAGAATGATGATCGCATGTTCAGCAAATTCCTCTCCATGTTGAGCCAGGTTCAATTGAATATTCCACTGGTTGATGTGCTTCGCGAAATTCCAAAATATGCTAAGTATATAAAAGACATAGTGGCTCATAAGAGGAGATTGACTGAGTTTGACACAGTTGCACTTACTGAGGAGTGCACTTCTAGGGTCCAAAATAAGCTTTCTCAAAAGCTTAAGGATCCTGGCAGCTTTACGATTCATGTGCGTATTGGTAATATTGATATGGGTCGTGCTCTTTGCAATTTGGGGGCAAGCATAAATTTGATGCCCCTGTCTTTGTTCAAACAATTGGGTCTGGGAGATCCAAAGCCAACTACTGTGATGTTGCAGCTAGCTGACAGGTCAATAGCACACCCTGAGGGGGTGATTGAAGATGTGTTGATGCAGATTAGGAAATTTATCTTCCCTGCTGACTTCATTATCCTCGATTATGAGGCTGATGAACTGGTCCCAATCATATTGGGGCGACCTCTCTTGGCTACTGGTGACGCAATTATCAAGGTGAGAGAGAGAAAGATGATCTTGAGGGTAGAAGATGAGGAAGCAGTTTTTAATATCTACAAAGCAATCCAACTTCCCCGTCACTATGAGGAGCTCTCCATGATATCGGTTGTAGAGGCTGATGAGCAAATTTATGATCCAAGTGTTTTCCTAGACGATTCTCTAGAGAAAGCACTTATGTTGTTTGATAGTCTGGGCAATGATGAGGAGGTCAAGGAGATGATGCACATCCTTGACACATCTTGTGCATACATGCATGGGATACACCCCTTTGAACCCTTGAACAGGCCAGAAGGACCTCCTCCAAAGCCGTCAATTGAGAAACCCCAAAATTGGAGCTTAAACCTCTCCCATCTCACCTGCAATATGCTTATTTGGGTGACTCTGACACCCGACCTGATATTGTTTCTTCTGAGTTGTCTAAATTGCAGGAAGAAAAGATGTTGAGAGTGCTATGGGAGCACAAGCGCGCACTTGGGTGGACGATGTCTGACATTAAGGGCATTAGTCCAGCCTTTTGCATGCACAAAATCCTCATGAAGGATGGACATAAGCCCAGTGTTGAGCAACAACGCCGCCTCAATCTTATCATGAAAGAGGTGGTAAGAAAAGAAGTGATTAAGTGGCTTGATGAAGGTATTGTATTTCCTATCTCAGACAGTAAATGGGTAAGCCCAGTCCAATGTGTACCCAAGAAAGGGGGGATGACTGTGGTAGTTAAAGAAAATAATGATCTAATCCCAACAAGAACTGTCACCGGGTGGAGAATTTGCATTGACTATAGAAAATTGAACAATGCCACCCGGAAGGACCACTTTCCCCTCCCCTTTATTGACCAAATGCTCGATAGATTAGCTGGCCAGGAGTACTACTGCTTCCTGGATGGTTACTCGGGGTATAATCAGATTGCTATAGCCCCAGAGGACCAAGAAAAGACCACGTTTACGTGTCCTTATGGCACATATGCATTCAAGAGAATGCCCTTTGATCTTTGTAATACACCTGCGACTTTTCAAAGGTGTATGATGGCCATCTTTACTGACATGGTTGAGAGGTTTGTGGAAGTATTCATGGACGACTTTTCTATTTTCGGATGTTCTTTTTATAACTGCTTAATGAACCTCGATAAAGTACTTGCTAGGTGTGAAGAGACTAACTTGATGCTAAACTGGGAAAGTGCCATTTCATGGTACGTGAAGGTATAGTTTTAGGGCACTCTACGAAACCTACGTAAAAGCACTCTACGAATCTGAAGATTTGCGTTCTAAGCTCCTTTTGCATGAACAACGGTTGCAACGGTTTCATGGTACTTGAAGTTTTGCGTTCTAAGCTCCTTTTGCATGAACAACAGTTGCAACGGTTTCAAGAATCTGATTCTACCATCTCTCATCATGCATTTGCTACCCATAATGTTCAATCAAATTCTTCTAATATGTCCAGCAATGTAGCGTCCTTTTCAAGTAATCGTGGACGGGGAAGATCCTCATCTTTTCGAGGAGGATATACCACCGTCAAGGAGTATTTAGATAGACTTTTTTTCCCTTCAAAACAAGGACTTTATATTAGTGCACCAACGAATAATAAAGTGCAAATCCTAGACAACCCAATTTGGGAAAAATTTCCCAGGAGATGTCCTTCAACAAAGAAATAGAAAATCTAGCTAAATTATGAGCTACTTTGTTCAACTTCCTTGGAATATATAGAAACTCCACGTGATCAAAGATGCCTGATAGCTTCCAAATGTCATCACACAATAGTTCTATCTCCCATAAAGTGGCCACCTATTTTTGGATCATATCAACAACATTCTTAGCATCACATTAAATCTTCACATTTTTTTTCATCCATGAGTAATAGCACATTCAAGTGCCTTTCTTATAGAAATCGCTTCAAGAGTCATGGTTTTCCTAACATATTGAATCGGGGATCCATGGACCATGAGTATGAAGCGGCTCTTCAAGGCTATTCAAAGCTGCAATATCGATACTCGCATGTCTATCATCACCCCGTAATCTTGCATCTATAAATAATAAAGTTCCATCTTGAAAATTTATTAGTTTAGGCACTTGTTCATTTCCGGTTGAAGATCAGACAGCGAGGCAACTAGTTAATAGATCTTTATATTCTTCATACTCAAAAAGAGCTTTAGAAACAATATCAGTTGGCTCTAACATTTCTTGATTAAAGCACTAAGGATTCCTACCTTTCCAAATTTGCCATATAATATTAACACTCAAATGTAATAATTCTATAAATTCAGGAAAATGCTTAGCAGTTAAGAACAATGTGTACCACCAAACAGAAAAGTCAATTATATTTTCAATATCAGGCTAATTAATAAGACTTTGTTTCCATACAAGCTGAGACCGAGGACATCTAAATAACATATATTCAATATCTTCACTTTCAAAACCACAAATCTTACCCATTCCATGTTCTGCAATCTTTTAGCTAAAGTACTATTCACATATTTCCATAGAAAATTTTTAAATTTATTTTTAGTTTCTAAGTTCCACAAAGAATCCCAGAAGTTGACTTGACTTCATAGTTCCTAATAGTCTTACCCGCCAAATCCTTTTCTAAATAGTAACCTGACTTGACTTCATAGTTCCCAGATTTTGAATAATTATTAATCTATCATTAAGACCTATGATGGATATTGGAATAGATAAAATTGCATTTACATCTCCAGGTGCAAAAGTCATACTTATCTCATGAAATTTCCAAGTATGTGTATCTTTATCAATTAAATCTGCAACCTTAAGATCCAAATTATTTTGTATTTGAATACTTTTTGGAGTAAAACCATTATTTCTTGGAATCCAAGGATCAGTCCAAACATTTATATTTTTTTCATCAGAAATCCTCCACCTTAGTCCATTAACTAATAGATCACTTACCCACAAAATACTTCTCCATATCCATGATCCAGTACATGATATAGAAGCATCAAAGAAAGCTGAGTTGGGAAAGTATTGCTTTTAAGTACTCTTTCTAATAACGAATCTGGGTACGACAATATATGCCAAGCTTGTTTAGCTAACAAAACCATATTTATTCCATTTAAAAAAAGTTTAGGGGGATAATAGGATTTTCGCAAAAATAAAGTGTGTAGTTGAAAATACAGGTATAAGTCAGGAGGGTAATTATGCATTTTCCCTTCAACTTTAATCCTTAATTTCATTTTAAGTTTCAGATATCTTCAACAAAGTAGAGAAACTTTTCGCACATATTAAAAATAGATAAGGTGATAGCAGATCTCATTGTAGTATTCATCTAGTCGCCTAGTCGGCTTAACTAATCCAATCATCTCCCCATTTATATTAAAACTGTAGGTAGGGGTAGAAATACATTGCATAATCCATTCTACAAATCTTGCATGAAAACCCATTCGTAAAAACATTTATTGAATATAAATCCATTCAATTCTATCATAAGCTTTTGACATATCCAATTTCATCGCCATAAATTTTTCCCTACCTCATCGTTTATTTTTTAGAAGATGCATAAATTCATGGACTAAGATAACATTATCGGTTATTTGTCTATGTCCAACGAAAGTTGCTTGAGTTGAAGATATAACCTTAGTTAAATAACATTCCATTCTCGTAGCAAGAATATTTGCAATGATTTTATAAAGAGTAGAACATAAACTTATGGGTCTAAATTGCGATACCAAAGTAGGGCTTTTAACTTTAGGCACAAGAGTGATTAAAATATGATTCCACGAGAAAAAATAAAGGAGTCATTTCATCCACGCCTGGCGCTTTAAGAGGATGCATAGCGAACACCGCATTCTTTATTTCAACTTCACTAACATCTTTAATGAGTTCTCGATTTATAGAGTCACTAATTGTTACATTGACATGGTTCAGAACACTTTCGAAGTTCGTCGAGTTAGATGTAGAGAATAGTCTAACATAATACGCATCAACTTCTTGAACTATATATATACATATATATATATATATATAACTCGCCTCTCATCAAATGTTTGAAACCCCCTAATTATATTTCTTCTTCTTCTTTATTAGGTTGCCATGTGAAAAGAGGAAGCATTTTTGTCTCCATCAAGCAACCATAAAACTCTAGACTATTGTTTCCAGAAAATCTCTTTTTCTTTATAAACTTCGCTTAAGTATCCCGATATAATAATCCCAGAATTATGATCCCTGGACTATTTTATCCCACCTGGGAAGTGGAATAAAATAATTTCAAGCTTGATGGGATAAGGGAGGATAAGGTGAGATATCCAGTATTAAGTATGGGATTAAATTTATACCATGTTTGGTTAATGGTATCCTCGGTCATGCCATGAGAATTGAGACATTAAATGAATATAAGGTATTCATATCGTATAAAAAGTATAATTTCTAGCGAACATACCTACAAACATCTGATTTTTTTTGAATAAGGATTTGAGACATTAACATTTCAAATAGTTATTTAACTACAGAACTAAAAAGACATTGAAGTCTTACATACATTAGCTACAGATAATCCAATAGAACAACTCTTTTTGTCTCTGTAATCATGTAGAAGAACATAAATATCTCCTCTGATCGAAGCTGCATCCAGGTGGACCCTACAGAAAAATGAAGGGACTTACATAAGTAGAATTTTCGAAGAATAATTAGGAAAGTGAAGGAAATTGGACAAGCTATATCTAAAGATAAATTGGAGAGGAAAAAAATGAAAGCAATGCTATATGTATCACAATTCACATGATGCAAATGTAAAAACCTTATATGTTCTTAGTAGTCCGGTGCACTAAGCACCCGATATGCGTGGGGTAAGGGGAATGGCCGGACCACAGGGGTCTACTGTATGCAGGGCCAGACCCTACATTTCTGCAAGAGGCTGTTTCCACGGCTCGAACCCCTGACCTCCTGGTCATATGGCAAAACTTTACCAGTTACTCCAAGGCTCCCCATTCATATGTTCCTAGTAGTGTGAAACCAAAAATAAAAAGCCCAGCCACAAAGCATAAAATGGTAATCTATATAATTTGCCACTTCATAAATTTTCTATAGCATGCTATGAATTAAAAAGGATGAGTAATTTAGCCTGCTAGACAATAAGTTAAACATACTTCTCTTTTTTTTCATACCAGATGGAACTGATAGCAGGGTAAAGAAATAGTTTCTTCTTCTGGTTTTCATAATAATGGAATCACTTACCATCTTTAGTTTTTCTTCGGGATATGAACTCGGATTCTTTCAGTTCCTTCGGTATTTTCAGCTTCTTCTTTAATATCCCAAGCTGAATTCCCAACTGAGTCGCTACAGTTGATCACTTTAATCGATTTTAGTGATAGAATATCTGCAAAACTAGAAGGAATCTTCTCAAACCGTCCACAATCTTTTATAACAAGTTTCTCAAGAACAGGAAAGGATGTCTCTGAGGACTCCCATTGAATCATATCCACTTGCTCTAATTTCAAGTATTTCAGCGCTTTGAACACTTTATTTGTGACGTCCCATAGCGGATCACATGTAAAGTGTATAAAAAATAATTTGAGAGTCTCAAGATTTTCCAGTGCTATAATACTTGAAACTATTGCTTCTGTCAATGAAATGCCAGCAAGAGATAAAACCTTAAGATTCAAAGGGAAGACTGATTTAAACCATCCAATTGATTCGGAGAAACCAATCGGGAAACTTATATCAAGAGATTGAAGCTGATTATGAGTTTCCGCTGTAGAAAACAGCGAATGATTAGGCATATCATGAAGATTAACAATGGAGAGCTTAAATTCTTCAAGATTCGGAAACCTCCACCAGAACTTCCGATTCATATCCGCCACAGATACACGACACTTGCCAAAAGACTTTAAGTTCTCTAACACAGTTTGTGAAGATTGTTTAAGACTTTCTTGCTCGCTGTCTTCCCAGATAAAGGAAAATTCACTAATATCCACATGTCTTAGCTTCGTCATTTTCCAAATATCAGGTGAGGTCTTTATGCGCTGATGTGAATGGACCCGCAAAGTTTGTAGATCACTCAAGTGCGAAACCCACTTGAAATCAAACTTTTTGACAAAAATTGCTAGGTACCTCAAGTGAAATAGTAATCCCAGAGTGGAAGCCGGAGAAACTTGAAAATCTCGGTCATTTTCCAAGTTGACATCCAACAAATGCAGCACCCTAATATGTCTTAAGCTAATAATTACAGGGAAAAGATCCACTCGGTTTGATGCGTAGAATTGTGGATGAGCGATGAACTCAATAGACTCCCTTTCTTCAGTGTCGACCATTGCAATCTTGTCCAGTAAATACCCATTCAGCTCCAGTCGTTTAACAAGCTCGTCATGGATATACATGCATAAGTGAGGATCCTGCGAAGATGAGGTTTGGGATAAATTATATGGCGCGATCTGCTGCTTAAACTTTTCTTCTTCAAGTTTAGTTGAACAAAACGCACGCACTAGATCATGAACCATGCAGTATTTTATGTCACCATTAGATCTCCTTTTAGAAACTATTAGAAGGCTTCTATTGACAAGATCATTCAAACAATCTTTAGATGCTTTCTCTAGGTTCTCTGTGTCGATGTTTTGCACTAACTCTTCGGCTATCCACAACTTCAGCAAATCAGACACTTCAATTTTGAAGTCTTCCGGAAAATATCCCATGTAAAGAAGGCAATGCTTTAGATGAACCCTTAAATTGTCATAACTTGACTGTATTGCTTTCGTACTCAGCTCTTCTAAACCATGGGAACTCAAAATATTTGCAAACTCACTCCACACAGAGGCTTGTCTTTCCTTTTGCGCGATAATTGGAGCAGTCAAGACAATCACAAGAGGCAGTCCCTTACAGTTTTTGGCAACTTCTTCTCCTGCTTCACGTAGCTCCACGGGACAGCTCTCGCATTGAAATACTTTCTTTTGCAATAATTCTCAACTCTCCTCCTTTGTTAGGAATCGAAGAAAATAAGGATCACTGCGGTGCTTAATCTCCTTAGCCACCTTTTCATCTCGAGTTGTTATCATAATTCTACTTCCTTTTTCCTCTCGAGGAAAACATAATTGCAGATATTCCCATGCCTCATATTTCCATATGTCATCTAATACGATGAGGTATCTCCAGCTAGATAGAGCCTTCTTCACCGCATCAACCACGTCCACATCCTCATTGATGTCACTCTTATCACCTGTTGCTTGTTTAAGAATCTCAACCAATAGCTTCCTCTCGTCATATTTTTGTGAAACAGTACAAAATGCTCTGACATTAAAGTGATGAATAACAAGAGGATTGTTGTACACTTTATTAGCCAAAGTCGTTTTACCTAGACCAGGCATTCCAACAATCGAGATAATGTCTCGTTGTTTTGGTCCTCCGAATCCAGTCAATTTCTGAATGATCTGATTTACATCTTCCTCAAAGCCCACAAAATCCTCATTATTTGATAGAGAACTGCCTTCAGTGGAAGGCTTTGCATGAGCAGCTGTTTTCTCGACATTCTCCATGTCAATTATGTTGCTCTTTTTTAGGATTGTTGGAAGTAAACTCAAAACTGCAGTGGCATTAATAACTCCGTCAGCCTCCATAAATGAAATGAAAACAAGAATAGGTCAATCAACTATAACTTAACAATTCAAAGAAATACATTTCATTTTGATGTGCACATGCGCACACGCACACTATAAGATGAATGAGAAGACCCCTACCCAATGTCACGGACAAAACTATCAAGGATTTGTCCCACTTCGGCCCGATCATTGTAGGTCACCTCAAATGTTATGATACGTTTAAGACCATAAGCTTTTTAGTCTGTGCCAAAAAGAATAACCCCTTTCCTTATAGTCATACAAACGTTATGATATGTTTAAGACTATAAGCTTCAAACCATACAAATATTGACATATTCAAGGCAACAAATTTTTAAAATTGTCGTTTTTTTCTTAACTTCGTGTTGAATCAAACAAAGCCAAGCAAACTAATAGCCCATTTGGCCAAGCTGCAAAAATTAGCTTATTTTGAGAAGTGTTTTTTCTCAAAAGTACTTTTGGTGAGAAGCAGTTTGTGTTTGGCTAATTAATTTGAAAAGCAATTCTGAGCAGCAATTAATGTTTGGGCAAGCTTCAAAAAACTGCTTCTTAGTGTATTTTTCTCAAAAGTGCTTTTCAAAAAAGTGCTTTTTTGAAAATAAGCTATTTTTTTCCGCTTCTCCAAAACTGCTTCTGCTTCTTCTCAAGAGCACTTTTTTCCTTTCAAAAGCTTGGTCAAATACATTAATTTTAGGAAAAAAGCTTTTTTGACCCCAATAAAAAACGATTTTGCGTCAAAATAAGCTTGGCCAAACAGGCTATAAAACATGGATAGAGTATTACACATTGATATTGTAAGCCCTCGGTGATAGTGAATCTGTCTTTTCTTGTTTAGCATATATATCGCTACGAGTTCAATTTAACTCAACATTTTCGACCATATATATATATATATATATATATATTTATGTAAAAAGTATCAAAATTTTAGAGGATGTTTGGCTAAGCTTATAAGCTTATCAAATCAGCTTATAAGCACTTTTTGGCTTATCTACGCATTTGGTAAATATCCAAAGTGCTTATAAGTTAAAATCAGTCATAAATTATAAGTTGGTCACCCCCAACATGACTTTTCAGCTTATAAGCACTTTTAGTTTGACCAGGGCTTTTTACTATTTTATCTTTAATACTCCCTCCGTTCCAATTTATGTGAACCTGTTTGACTGAGCACGGAGTTTAAGAAAAAATAAAGACTTTTTGAATTTGTGGTCCTAAACAAGTCAAAAAGGAGTCCAGAGTATTTGTGTAGTTATAAAAGTTTCTAATTAAGGGTAGAATTGGAAGTTTAAGCTAAATTGTTTTCAAATTTAGAAAGGAGTCATTCTTTTTGGAACTAGCCAAAAAGGAAATAGGTTCACATAAATTGGAACGAAGAGAGTAATATTTTTTAATTTGCAAAAAAAAATTCTAAAATGAATTTCCTAACTTTCTTTTCATTTCATATTCGTTGTTCGTCCTTTTCTTTACAAAGAAACTTTTTAATTTATAATCTTTTATAAAGTTTTTAAGGGTATTCTAGTCATTTTCATAAAAGAATAATTTATAAGCATTTTTTTACCAAACACATCAACTGCTTATTATTAGTTTCAGCACGTCTATCCAAACACGTAAATGCTTATTTAAAATATCAGTTTCAGTAATTAAAAATGCTTTTCAGTACTTCAAGTTTATCAGCTATTTACAATCAGCTAATCCAAACGGGCTCTCAATAAATATTAAATTCTAAACTTATAATTTCAAAGTGTCATATGTTCAATGACACATTTTAAAGATCAAACTCATCAAGTATAAATTCTATATCCGCCCCTGCCTGAATATACTTTTCCGATGCATTGAGAAAGCAATTTTTTAAAAGTATGTCGATGTAATTTCTGTCATTATTTAAAACTTTAAACTATTTGATAAGCATTTTTTTTTTTTGGGCTAAGCAGTTGGTTCCTCTTCTCTTTATATTCTGGGAAATTAACTTTGCTAGATCTAGCTAAAAATTCGATGGTCCTCTTCAATTGAAATTGATTTGTATGGATTACGCAGTTCTAGTTGAGAAATAAATAAATAAATAAATAAATAAATAAAAATAGTTCGGAGAAACTTTTCAAATGGAGCAACATATATTACCCCAATAATTTTAAGGACTCATTAGCTGAAATATATAAAACATTTCAAGAGAGCTTTCTAGTCTGGTGGATGATTTTTGTAAAGAAAAAGGAAATTATGATCACAGTATAGAATATTGTAATAATAATATTTGACAGTAATCAAAAGAGAAATAGAATGGAAAAGCTAAAATGGAATCTCACCGATTAATGAGAGTAGTTATAGAGAGATCAATTGCTCCAAGTTTCTTTAACTTAATATATGCTTTTGTGTAAAGATGAAGAAGAGGAAGAAAAGAAAAGAAGATGAATACTAAATAATTTGTCTAGTGGAGTTCCATCTTGAAGCAATGAAGAGTGATTATATTATATAACTAGTTGTACCATAAATTAATATCCACTAATAAATGTACTAAATAATTTTTAAAATTTATGTTAGTCATCACTAGTAATATTACTTTAATACGAGACTTCAACTGAAATATACAGCTCAATACTTAAATCTGGTCCGCATTATTATTTTAGAGAATTATTGCTTTCTAGAAAAATGTATAAAAATTATATGGGGTGTCCTATTTGGTCGCTCCATTTTAATCTATATCCACTTTTTTTAAAAAAATTAATTTATATCTACTTTTTAAACAACTTTTTGGCTCTTTTTCCTCCTCCTCCTCCTTTTCTTCGGGTGATAATAATTTTATATGGTGGTTGTGAACATATTTTAATGTAGTTTATGATATTTTACAAAGGTGAGCTATTATGATGCTTTATTTTTTACTATTACTTAGGGTTTCTTCTTTTTCTTAATTGCAAAATAAGTTCATTAAATTTATTGTTGATTTGACAAATTGATGATTGGAGTTTGTTCCTGATGATATTTGGAGGTTATGTTTCAAATTTGAGCTCATTTGGAATATATTTAGGTATTAAATCGTATATTAGATTGTTTTAATTCGAAGAACAGATTTCTGTTTTTGGGCAATTTGCACTTCAGGCTTATTTGGCCTTAAGTGCATAAAACGTTGGGTGCACTTCAGACCTTTTGGCCTTAAGTACATTTGAAGTGCAATTTTTCACTTCAGACTTATTGGCCTTAAGTGCATGAAACTCACTACAGGCCTATTTGGCCTTAAGTGCATCTAAAGTGTAAATTTTCACTTCAAATTTATTGGCCTTAAGTGAATGAAAATATTTATTGAACTTAGACTTTTTGGCCTTAAGTGCATCTGAAATACAATTTTTCACTTCAGACTTATTGGCCTTAAGTGAATGAAAATATTTATTGAACTTAGACTTTTTGGCCTTAAGTGCATCTGAAATACAATTTTTCACTTCAGACTTATTGGTCTTAAGTGCATCTGAAGTACAATTTTTTACTTCAGACTTATTAGGCTTAAGTGCATTCCATTGGTTGCACTTCAGACCTATTTGGCCTTAAGTGCATCTGAAGTACAATTTTTTACTTCAGACTTATTAGGCTTAAGTGCATTCCATTGGTTGCACTTCAGACCTATTTGGCCTTAAGTACATTTGAAGTGCAATTTTTTCACATCAGACATGCAAAAGCCCCCCAAAATGTGTGCCATTTGTCTCAATTTACTTACCAAGAGTTATATATTTAATCCCAGCATAACACATAAATTTTACCATAAATTAATAGGGAACTTACACAAATGTCCCAAATAAGTCTTAACTTACCAACCTCTAGCCAAACACATATAAAAATTAAAAAAAAAAAAATAAATAAGGTTCTTTCTCTCAAAGAATCACATGTAACAATCACATTCCATATTTTTAAGCGCAATTAGCAACATTAGATGCAAGACGGAAAGAAAATTTCATGGATGAGGTAGCAAATAAGGTGATGAAATGCAAAACAAATACACAATATTCCAAAAATCTAAGAAAAAAGGGAACTTTTTCAACGGGTATAGTTTGAATTCGTTGAAAATATATAGATAAGTCAATATACAAAATTTGAGGAAGATTGGAGGTGATTTGGACTTGTTTTGTATCAAAATTCATAATTAAATCGAGTTCAATTTTTTTTTCTGCGATACATGTATCACGCATGTATCTCACACACATTTATACATGGATATACATGTGGTACACAATTAATAAAAATATGATACATAAATGATACACAGTGTGATACACATTATTTTCTCTCATGTTTAATTTTTACTTAGAATTTTCAATTGAAAGTTTGAAACCACCTCAAAACTTCACCAAATCATCCCAAAATTGAGATTTAAGCTCCTTAAGATATACTCAATCTATTCTAATAACATCCACTTAAAAGACAGCAATTTTTTTTTGCTATAAATAGCTAATTGGCTAATATTAGTAATATTTTATAAATTGGCCAGTTTTTGTAATGAGCTACTTATAAATGGACATAGTTGGTAATTTCCCAACTTAATATAGGTAATTGTTTAAAACCTCCAACCGCACATTGCATTAATCATGAGCCGATTCTATACCACAAAACATATACTCCTTTCGGTCCACATTAATTGATTTTTTAGTTATTTTCACAGATATTACATATTTTAGCATTAATTAACAATAAAATTGACCATATTAACTTTAATTTATTCATTGAAAATATAATAAATATTCCAAGGGAAACTTTGAAAAAAAAGAGTTAATACATGTGGCAAGTCACCTCATCAAATGTTAGTTTCACGTAGGATTGGATGTCCACTTTGGACAAACTTAACGGAAAAGAGGTATATTTGAACCAATAATATAACGACAGTGGTATATTTAGACTCAAAGTATAACGAATGGTACATTTAAATCTTTTTTGATAGTATACGGGTATATTTGACCTTTTCCGAATATTTTATGGATTTAGAGGTATTGTGGCTGTGCTTTAAATATAAGAAATAGTAAGAGTTGTTTTCAATAGGAGTAATTAGTTCTCAATTAGAGTCAACTTGAAATAGTTTATTTCCAGATCTGAACTGAGAAAAGTTAGAAAACTTAGATGTTCACACTCACCTGCATAATTCAATTCGAGTCATTGTACTACAATTCTTAATTCTGCATAATATATAATATTATTCTTAACTGTTATAAAATAAAAGCAATATAGTAAAATGTAAATAAGAGGAGATAGAAAGAAGAGAGAAGTGTTTTCTTCTTTCACTTTGGTGTATCTTTCCATTGCAATTACATGGCCTTTTATAGGCATAAAAAGTAAAGATGATGGAGATAAAGTAGGAGATTTAATCTTTAAGTTATTCACAACATGGACATCCAATGTAGCATCCAATGTACAAACTAGTCATAACACTCCCCCTTGGATGTCCATGTAAGAGAATGTGCCTCATTAAGAACTTACAAAAAAAATATTGGGGTGTACACAGTTATTTATAATATGCATTGCTTGCTGCCTCATTAAAAACCTTACCAAGAAAACCCAGTGGGACAAAACCTTAGTTAAGGAAAAGAATGCAGCGTGTAGTTACTCCCCCTGATGAAAAATCACTTAATGTCTCGAAGACGACGCATTCCAATCTTATATATCAGCTTTTCAATATTGAGGTTGGTAATGCCTTAGTGAACATATCAGTCAAATTATCACTTGAACGAACTTGTTGTACATCTATTTCACCATTCTTCTGAAGATCGTGAGTGAAAAAGAATTTCGGTGAAATGTGTTTTGTTCTATCTCCTTTGATATATCCTCCTTTCAATTGAGCTATGNCCAATCTTATATATCAGCTTTTCAAATATTGAGGTTGGTAATGCCTTAGTGAACAGATCAGCCAAATTATCACTTGAACGAACTTGTTGTACATCTATTTCACCATTCTTCTGAAGATCATGAGTGAAAAAGAATTTCGGTGAAATGTGTTTTGTTCTATCTCCTTTGATATATCCTCCTTTCAATTGAGCTATGCATGCAGCATTGTCTTCATACAATATTGTTGGAATATTCTATTTCAAAGAAAGACCACATGTTTGCTGAATGTGCTGAGTTATAGATCTCAACCAAACACATTCTCGACTTGCTTCATGAATGGCTATTATCTCTGCATGATTTAAAGAAGTAGCAACCATAGTTTGTTTTGTCGAACGTCATGATATGGCTGTACCTCCACTTATAAATAAATAGCCTGTCTGAGATCAACCTTTGTGTGGATCATACAAATATCCTGCATCTGTATAACCAATCAATGATGGCTTGGATTTATTTGAATAAAATAAACCCATATCAATGGTCCCTTGGAGGTATCTGAATATATGTTTAATATCATTCCAGTGTCTTTGTGTTGGCGAAGAACTAAAACTTGCCAATAAACTTACTGAGAAAGCTATATCTGGTTGGGAATTATTGGCAAGATACATTAATGCCCCAATTGCACTAAGATATGGTACTTCGGCACCAAGAAGCTCTTCATCATTTTCATGAGGTCGGAATGGATCTTTCTTTATATCAAGTGATCTCACAACCATCGGGGTACTCAATGGATGTGCTTTATCCATATAGAATCGCTTTAAAATCTTTTCGGTGTATGTTGATTGATGGACAAATATTCCATCTTTCATATACTCAATTTGTAGACCAAGACAAAATTTTGTCTTTCCAAGATCTTTCATTTCAAATTCTTTCTTCAAACAGTCTACTGTTTTTGGAAGCTCCCCAGGAGTTCCAATGATATTTAAATCATCAACATACACGGCGATTATAACAAATTCAGATCCAGACCTTTTTATAAAGACACAGGGACAAATTGGATCATTCTTGTACCCTTCTTTCAACAGGTATTCACTCAGGCGATTGTACCACATACGTCCTGATTGTTTCAATCCGTATAAAGATTTCTGAAGCTTTATTGAACAAGTTTCTCGAAAATTTTTATATGCTTCTGGCACTTTAAATCCCTCAGGTACTTTCATAAAAATTTCGTTGTCTAATGATCCATACAAATAGGCTGTAACAACATCCATTAGATGCATATCAAGTTTTTCTTGCACTGCCATATTTATGAGATACCTGAAGGTGATAGCATCCACTACAGGAGAATATGTCTCCATATAATCAATTCCAGGCCTTTGGGAAAACCCTTGTGCCACAAGTCCCGCTTTATATCTAACGACTTCATTTTTATCATTTCGTTTTACCACAAAAATCCATTTATACCCTACTGGCTTTATGCCTTCAGGTGTTCAAACTATGGGTCCGAAGACTTCACGTTTTCCAAGTGAAGTTAACTCTGCCTGGATAGCGTCTTTCCATTTTGGCCAATCATTTCTCTGTCTACATTCATTGACAGATTTTGGTTCAAGATCCTCATCTTGTTGCATTATTT